TAAGACTTGTGGACTTCAACTCCCAGAATTCCTCAGCCAGCTTTGCTGGCTGAGGAATTCTGGGAGTTGAAGTCCACAAGTCTTAAAGTTGCCAAGGTTGGACACCCCTGCTCTAAATGAAAACATATTCTTTGAACAATGCAAAACTGTAGCATCTCCATGATCCTGTGATCACCATTTTGCAACCTTCTTGGTTGGCTTTCGACAAGTAAAGTCAACGGGAAAAGCTGGTTTCGCTTAACAATCATGTGTCACTTAACAACTGCAGGGTTTGCTTAAACGTGGCTGTAAAGTTGTAAAAGCAAACAAAGGTCTTGAGACACAACAGGAAAGGGTCTGACTTACCTCGAGTGGCATTAATCTAATCAGAGTTGCAAAGCATTGGGTAGCCATGAAACGGACACTGTCTGTCTGATCACTCATTCTGCCCAGAACAGGAACCACAAGCAGGACTATATAGGGAATAATTCCAACATCTAATTGCTCCATTATAGCTGTAGATTCGTTGTTAAGGATTTCTTTCTTATTAGCAATAGAGGCTCTTTTCCACCAGAAACGATTCTAACATTTCCCCCTCCCTCCCCGCCAAACTTTTGCCCATTTCCAGTTGACCAAGGAGAGGCACCTCCCTGCTGAGCTCTGCAGTTTATCTACTTAATCAAGATAAAAGGAGAACATTCCTTTCTTTTATTTACCTTGGAAGTTATTGCTTTCAAGCAGCCAATTTCAGAATTAACTTTTATTTAGACAAAGCTAGCCTTCAGTGGACGTCCCCAGACAGACAGACTACAAAAGAATTTAGCAAGGATACCGCCGAGAGCTTCAATTGCTCCTTCTTGCTTGGTACTATCATCTATCGCTCCCAGCCAAGGAAGAACCTTTTCTAGAAAAATATGAATGGTTTCCACGGTAGCTATTTTGCTCATTACACCCACACAACGAGCAGCCATGTGCCTCACTGCAGTGCTGGGGTGTTGAAGGCACATACAAAGGTAAGGCAAGTGCTGTATTAACTGAAAAAAAAGAAACCATGAGTCAGTCACAGGGACAGTAAAGGCTACTGAAGATACTCTTTTACTGTATCAAAAGACAGCTATTGTAGTTCAATGTTAGTGTGAGTTATTCATGATACTGAATACATGATTTATCTCCTTGCAATGGAACAAGGACAGGGGAATGTCAAGGTGTATTTGAACAATCCGAGACACAGGCATATGATGGTGCACAACACAGTTATCTAGAGCCTTGTGGTCAAATCATTATTGTGCCAGAAAGAGTAGCTTTTAAAATTAATTGGGTTTCGTGGGAGGGTTGGTTTCGGACCAACTGTGGTGCTGTGGTTCCCCGTCGGGTGGGTGGTCTCTGGTCTGTCTGACCTCTCTCTTTGGTTTCCAGCCGTTTTCTCATTTCGTTAGCGCATAATGTCCTGTCGACTTTTATGGCCACTCGGAACCACTCAGAGTGTCAGTTCAGGATGTCCCGATAAGTTAATTTGTCTGTCCAGGCTTGTTTTGAAAAACTGCTGCTGGAAGGAGGGCAGAGGCCGTTTGAAGTCTGGACCGACCATAAAAATCTGGAGGCCCTTAGGACCCCATGAAAACTATCTCCCAAACAAGGTCGCTGGGGTCAATACTTCAACCGATTCAACTTCATACTAAAACACATTCCAGGAGGAAGGAACTTTCTGGCTGACACCCTCTCCCGCATGCCCCAGTACAAATGCAAACGGGAGGAGGTTGCAGAGACCATCGTTCCTTCTACCCAAATAGCTTCCCAAGTGACCACCAGACGACACAGCACTGGCCCCAAAACCAGCCCTCTAACGAAGCCCAATTAAATGCAGCCCAAAGTGGGCGGTAAGGTCCATCTAAGGCAAAAGCAGTACAGACCTATAAGAGACATGGATAGTTGTGTGAAAAGTTGCACCATCTGCACCACGATGAAAATTCAAGAATTGTTGCCTTTTAAGATAAAACCACAACAACTCTTAGAAGATACAAAATTCTCTTAAAAAAAAAAAAGGTAGGGTCCAGAGGTGGTATTCAGCAGGTTCGGACCAGATCTGGAGAACCGGTAGCGGAAACATTGAGTAGTTCGGAGAACCAGCAAATACCACCTCTGACTGGAGATTTCACAGTATCCTTTCTCTGCCATGCCCACCAAGCCACGTGCACACAACCAGTAGTAAAAAAATTTGAATCCCACCACTGGTAGAATCGATTTAAATATAAAAATAGAATAGAATAAAAACTTTATTGTCTCTTTAAATGTACACTAATCAGCCTACATTAAAATGAAATTTCTTTGCATTCAGCTCTCAAAAGATAACCATTATGCAATATGCATATACCTGCATACACATACACACGCACGACAGAGAAACATCAGTTTAATTTTAATGTACACATATACACGGCAAAAAAAAGAATCCTGCGAGTTTACATAAAAATTATAACAATATTTTTAATTGCAGGTGGCAGTTCTAACCATTATTCCAAATTTAAGAAAAAGCAAAAACAAATATTGTTGAACCTCAGTGAGAATGCTGACTATTTCTACACAAAATTCAATACCAGAGAGTGAAGCCGAATATCCATAGAAGCTGCAGTTATTTCAAAAACTTGTAGAGAATTCACCAATTCCTGGGCTGGTCCATCTCCTTTTTCCAAGAGTAACTTTCGATCTATTACAGGAAACAGTATTAGATTTTTTTTTTAAATTGAAATTTTAAATTAGCCAAGCCTTAAGAAATATACCCACCAAAGTTATTTATATCGATACTGTTCTTTAAGGACCCGACCATGGTATCCCAAAGATGTGGCAAGCCTACTGCCATTTCATCACCAAAATGCTTTGCTATGGTGGATAAAGCAAATTCTGCTCCTCTCCGCTGTACAATGTAGGGTTTCTGAGCCTAGAATTTAATAAGAGGATAATTTAAAAGCAAATAAAATACCATGTTGGCATCTAATGCAGTTACTCCAGGAAAAAATGTGCTTTTCCAGAGTTTCCATATATCAAATTGATAAAGAGAAACTGGAGTAGGACGTATACTACAACATACTGTTGATCCCAATAAAGGACCAACACACAGTCAGTGATCAATTCTCAACTTTAAAACTGACCTATAATGCACAACGTATCTTAGTAGAGTAATATGGTATAATCAATATCAGGTTGATGGCTAAAATTTTGTTTCCCATTGTTCTTTTTAATTAACGCGTATGAGTAATTTTAAATTAACTAAAATGTTTCAATGTGAAATTCAGTGAAATTTAGGGCTGTTTTTATAATGGATGCTCAACAATGATGAAAAAAGGGATCAGTAAAATAACTAACACTACAATTGCTTCAAATCACAATGCTCTTTTTCTTTAAAAAAAAAACACATTTAATTTCCAATATTTCAAGTCGTCAAGCTGGGAATAACACGTACAGATGATTCTTTGTGAACTGGCTAGCAGGATTAAAAAAGAAAGACATAAGTATTTGCTAGCAACCTTGTTCTTTCTTTCCATTCTTGCATTTCTCGATCTCTTGTAAAATTGATCCTTCAAGTCTAAGAAACAAACATGTCTCATTTTCTCAGGAGCAATGAAAGAGTGAAAGGACTGGCAGGAGGAGGTCAGTCTAAACATGCACAAAACCTTCCCTCATTTCCATTAAGAATAAATTAAAAAGAGGGAGTGGGAGGGAAGACTGTTATGGCCAAGGAAAGAAAATAGGACAATCTATTTTTAAAAGGCTGCAACATCAAGGCTTCTTTTTTACATAACCTCATTTTGATTAGCTGCAGTTTATAGCTGATGTTGACTTTTAGCAACTGCATAGGCTTTCTCCAGGATAATCTGCCCACCCACACTCCACCCTTGGGCTGATCCTTCTGATCTTTCAAGTCTGCATCCATCAATGCTATAATCAAGTCCCTGCTGATTGTTATCCTCTTCTTCTTTCCTTCCACCTTTCTCAGAACTATGACACCTCAAGGATGCTAAGCCTTCACATAATGTATCTAAGATATGCTAATTTGAGCCTGGCATTGTGAGAAATTTGGGTTGGTTTATTTTGTGATTTGTTATTTTTTTTTTCTTGGCTATCCTTGGTAGTTTCAGGAGATTCCTTTGACGCCAAAGTTCAAAAGCATTATTAATCTTTTCTTATTTTGCCTGTTCAGTCTTTTACCTCCATAGAAAGCCAGAGAGATAATCACTGCCTCCACAGTTCTGATCTTTGCGGGTATGGATATGTCATACCCACGGTTTCCCAAAAATAAGCCCAGGTCTTATATTAATTTTTGCTCCAAAAGATGCATTAGGGCTTATTTTCTGGTTATGTCTTGTTTTTAGGAAAATACAGTACTAACTGCACCCATCTGTCTGACAATCTTAACTGGGGCTTATTTTTGGGTAGGGGTTATATTACGAGCATTCTGAAAAAGCATGCTAGGGCTTGTTTTCCAGGTAGGTCTTATTTTCACGGAAACATGGTAGCATCTGGAAATCTTTTTTTCCAAGGATTTTATTACTAAACCTAATCATATCTCTACCAAGTCTAGTCTATGGCGTATTTCTTGACTGCTGCTTCCTTTACTCTTAATAGTTGGTGCTAAATGAAAAAGCTATCCACTACATGAATATTTTTTATTATAAATCCTAAAGCTGATTGTTGTATCTGTTGTATTTAGTTTGATGTTTTGGGTATTTAAGATATCAGCTTTTCCTTCACTTCTATTACTAGGTAATGAAAATCAATGAAAATTATTGGCATTTTCAGCTAGTCAACTAGTGTTACCAGTGTACTACAGGTTGCTAATGTTGCTTTCTCTAATTGTAAATCCACACTGATCATCTTTGAAACCAGCCTCCCTAATATATATTCAGCATACAATGAAATGCCTTGTATATCAACCTCTACTCTGCTCCTTGATGTATACTATTTCTCCCCCCTCACTCACTAGAGTAGCTAGGTGCATTTTTCTAAGACAATTCAAGTTACCTATCTATTTATATTGGAGTACTGTGTAATGTTTGCAAAACTGAAAATTAAACTTTGTACCCACTTCATCAAGCTCTGTTGTTACATTTCCACTAGTGCTTGCAGGCAAATCTCCAATTTGGGCTTTGGTGGACTTTGGTGTTGGACCCCGTCGGCTTGTGATGGCAAATGCAGCTTTTTGGTGTCTATATAGTGTAATTATACCTCTGTGCTTGGTGACTGTATGATGCATCCCATCTCTTTCAGAATTAGATCCTACAAAAAAGGTGGCAATTAAAAACACTCTGATAGAAGCAGCAGGGATGGTCACAAACATGTTCTCTTCTCACAAATTGTAACGAAGAGGAAATTAGAGAGAAAAATCAATCTCTAATATTAATTCTTTAAGAAACTGGACTTGAAATACAGTACAAAGGGATTATGATCACTAGAATGTTTGGTTTGAAATTCAGAGCAGCATGCTGGCAGGATAACAATAAAAATATATCTGGCCCAGAGTCACTTGTTTTGTGAGATGGGAAGATGAAGGAAGGAAGGAAGGAAGGAAGGAAGGAAGGAAGGAAGGAAGGAA